AAAAACAAGTGATACAACTGCTCACCACCCACCAACCAATATCCAGCCAGTCCCCGAGCATCAATCACACCCCCCAGCCAACTCCTCTAGCTTATATACTAAGCATGACATTTTATGGTACGGAATATCCATTTGGCCAGTTTGGGTCCCAGGAAAAGCTGGGAGGGCAGGGGTAGCATGAGAACCTGAAAAAGTCATTGCCTTAAAATAAGCATTGCTTGGCAACAACTGAAACACCAGTGTGTTACCAACACTGTTTTCAGCACAAATCCAAGCCATAGCTTCATACTAGGTACTGTAAAGAAAATTAACTCTATCCCAGCCAAAACTGGCACAAGTGCATCGCTGATATATACTTGCTTCTGGCAGTTACCAGCTACAAGATTTCAAGAGTTTGAGGTTACATCACATTTAATAGGATGGATCGCTTGCTTCTGGCAGTTACCAGCTGCAAGATTTCAAGAGTTGGAGGTTACATCACATTTAATAGGATGGATCTATGTTATAAAACCTTACAGAATTGTTTTTTTAACCTACTTATTAGTGCAGCAGTTCAACCTGTATACCAGTAAGCAAATACATTAATGAGAGAGATTCAAAATCATTGCCTTCTAAATGGCTTTCAGACTTGGGTTACACAGCAAGAAGCTCTGCAGAGGCAATTCTCAGTACGTGAATTAGGTTTAGTATATAGCAGTTTAATAATCTGAATGAGCTGATGAAACCAAACCAACAGACAGAAATAAGTGCTTTTTGGCTCTGCTATTGGAGCAGATCACTTTATAAACAGCAGCAGACAGGCTAGTAGTCTAAAGCTTTGAGACATAGTTTTATTATATACAAATCAATATTTTCATACTTTCAACAATAACATAATAAGAAGCATATATTCTGGCATGTGAATAACACACAGACAAAAAGTAAAACTAATGTAAAAGAAAAAAAAGGAATTACCTTCTTGCATTTTTTTGCAGTGCATTGCAGTCAGAATGTTTAATTGAAGCTGATACTTTTTGCTTAGCCAGGATTATTTCTTTAGCCTAAAATAAAAATAGACAGAAAAATAATTCTCATAAAAGTTGAGATTCATGCTCACAAGCATTTAAATAATCTCCCAAACCCAGAAAAATTAAGAGGGTCTGAACAAATTTTCTCTCGTGACATTTACTCTTTCTACTATATTTTAACACTCTTCACTCAGCATGGAACACACGCATAGGCATTTTAACCAGATTATCTGAATAAATTATATTCAAATACATGTATATAAAATATTTAAAGATATACCTCTATTTGTATTTAAAGATGTGCTGTCTTGTTTAGTACCATGTTAATAATGCACATTACTGATTTTCTCCATAGCTAACTAACTGGTTCATGATGTGCATCTCACTTGCATTTCAGCTCTGGCATCCATGTGCTAGCTCAAATACTTTTATTAAAGAATTTGCTGCAGTCTGGAATTATTCTTACTCTTTATAAAAGGGACAAATGACCCCAAATTCCCTCAGCTCTTTTGTTAAAACAGAATCTCAAGTTCAAATTCCAAGTGAATTCCCCTTCTCAGAGACAACATGTCCATCACCATTTTTTTTTGAAGATGTGTTATTGACCCAAGAGTATCTCATGGCAAAAGAGTACCTTTCCCTTCTTAATAGCACCATGGGAGAGGGACCCCTTAAGCATTTGAAAGGAAGGAGAAGAACAGGAACTATAACAAATAGTTCATTTAATTGACTATTTCTTAGTGCAATTGATTTGAAAGGAGTCTGTTCCAGAAGCCTAGTGAATTTAAAGTCTCCTTTCTAAAATCAACAAGAAATAAGACAGAGCCTGCACCATCTGTCATTCATTTCTGAAATACATCTTCAAGTGGCTGATCCCCCCCTGATTCTGTAAATACCCTGGTAAACGAAAGTCAGTTTCTTTGGAACTTCCCTCTCTTCTCAGGAATCCCTTTATTTTAACAGAAATTCATTCCCTTGACACTAATGTTCCTTTCTTTGACCTCAGAGCACATCATCAAGGATGGTGAGGAAATTTGCTGATTCTGCAACAAACAGAAAAAGCTTCCTTAACAAGAAGTGATCCTGGAACTTGGGCAAGGGTAAGGATTTGGCTACTACAACTTTTATTATCAATTATCAAATATTGCTTGACATAAAATCTGTTCTGCTCAAAAGATGTCCTCCTACCTCTGTTCAAGAAAAAAATGTGATAGTCTAATTTTTCTTCTATTTGAAACACAACTCCATATGCAACAATGGTATGTGAGTTTCACCAAGCCAGCAGCTGACTGTCCATCTCTTAGTGACGGTGATCAAGTGAGGATAACTGTTCTGGAAAACAGAACTGCCATAGCTTCAACTGGCCAAAAAAATAAGACTTTGGGCTCAATAGAAAGATAACTCTATGAAATGTAAAGCCTGTGGTGCACAGGGAGACAGACTAGATTAATATAATGAAGCCTTCTGAGAGCTATTCTATGAAACTATTTCTAATAATTGCATTAATCAGAAAACAGAAAGGAGACCTCTTTTAAGATCATTATCAGAGAATTCTAGAAATGGATGTGTTAAATAGAATATATTTGAGAAAACAGAAGGAATTTGTAAAAACAAAATTTTTAAGCTGAGTCATCTTTTCAGTCCATATTCCTACAGTGACTTTCTTCTTCTCCACCAGGAATTCCACTGACTAATAAAGTTTCCCTGAAACACATTTTTTTCTGAAGGATGAATAGATTTCTAGGGTTCCACACCTGTATGTCTCCACATGCCTTTGATGGTAATGAAATATCACTGCATTTACCATACCTAGATAAGTGAGAATTATATAAAGAAATAGTATCAAATAACCTTTACACTGACATGCATAATATATACCATTCCTGTTTTTAAATTAATTAGGGAATCTAACTGTCATTGATCTTTACATTTCTAAATGCATTTGAAGGCCCAGGCAATAAAGAGCTGTCAGAACTCATTTGTGACTGCTTATATAATAAAGAATTAATCAAAAAGTCCTCAGATTCACTAAAATAAGGAAAGTGAAGTTTTGAAACATGACATGGGACGTCTCAGAACCCTCAATAAAAACTGCTTGCTAATAACATTGGGTTTTGATGCCTTTTCTCAGACATTAATTAAAATGCTATTGGTGTAGTCTGCTGATGACAATTTACAAAATCACTGATTTAATATGCCAATTTTGGTCAAAGTTTATTAAAGAAACTATCAGTTTTTATTTTTCCTGCATAATCTGCAAAGATGACATTGTCAGGGCACAGAGGTCCAAAGTTTGAAAAGCTTCATGTCACAAATGTTTTTCCCAGAAAATGAAGCATGTACAATGTAGTCACTATCAACTCCTTACTCATATAGTATAAACACTACACTTTAAATTGTCACTATATCATTTCACTGAATGTTGTGTTCTTCAGTTTGTTTTGATGACCTTCCAAAAAAGGTTGCTAGACACTACCTTAGCAAGACACCTATTCTGCAGTGATTTGCTATGCAGGAAATAGTACATTTAGGAAAAATGTTTCCAGAAAAGAAAGTGAAAATTATTTGCTTTCTTTTACTTCATGTGGAATTTACTATCTCCAACATCCATGGTATGACAAGGTCATCAGAGAGGTAAGGAAAGAGGTTTTGTTTTTCATTTCAAAGGCTAGGGAACTATGAATGGGCTGGAAGATGAATGGTGAAGGGTTTAGTAACCTGATCAGAAATGCACCAAAGCAAGTGAAAAACACTGAATGCAGTTAACGTTCTGTTCTGTTACAGACAAGAAAGATCTTTTCAGGATAGCATTGCAAGAAGCAATTATATGAGACTATTTTTAGGTTAATAGCATTTTTAACATTTCAGCTACCTAAGGAATATGCTAGGTCATTCATCTAGTTGCAAATAATTTTATTTTTATAATAATTGTTTATCAGGAACAAAAAGGTTAAATATAGTGGAATATATTCATTAGGCTTGTCTTATCACTGATACAGCCTGCAAGAAGTTGCATGAACTCTGTTCTTCCCATTATCTTACTAAAAGGAATTCACATTAAATTGATGATCTCAAATTAGTATTCTCAAGCATTGTCGATAACCTCAGCCATAATGCTCTGGAAGAAAAATACCTATTGGCCTTCCAGTTGTTGCTAATCCTTATTCATTATACTTTGCTTACTATATTTGTATGGATAGAGAGCATCTGAAAAGGATATGTATCCCAGAAATATAACTTGTGCACTCTAATTTAGTCCTGAGGTACGGGAACAGATTTTCTGACTAATATACAACAAAGAACAATACATTTGTATCAGCTACATGCAATTGCTGTGAAGTAGCACAAGTCTTTCTTTGATCAGTAAATCCATGAAGTTTACAGGATCTCAGACTCCCAGAACGGTTGAGATTGGAAGGAACCTCTGGAGGTCATCTGGTACAGCCCCCTGCTCAAGCAGGCTGCCTAGAGCTGGTTGTCTAGGACTATGACCAGACAGCTTTTGAAAATCTCCAGGGGTGGAGACTCCACAAACTCCCTGGGCAACAGTAAAAAAGTGTTTTCTGATGTTCAGAGGAAACCTCCTGTGTTTCAGCCTGTGCCCATTGTCTGTGGTCCTGTCACAGGGCACCCTTGGCTCCATCCTCTTTGCACCCTCCCTTTGGGTATTTATATGTACTGATAAGATCCCCTTGAGCCTTCTCTTCTCCAGGCTGAACAGTCCCAGCTCTCTCAGCCTTTCCTCATGGAAGAGATGCTCCATTCCCTCAATCACCTTTGTGGCCCTTTGCTGGATTCTCTCCAATATGTCCACGTCCCAAGTGTGTCTCACCAATGCTGAACAGAGGGGACCAATTGCCTCCCCGAACCTGCTGACAACACTCCTAGTGCACCCCAGGATAAAATTAGCTTTCTTTGTCAAAAGAGCACAAAGAGAAAGAAATGACCCCAAATAGCAGCTGATGGTTCATCCTTGAGACGAAAATGCTGTAATGGATATATCATGGTAGATGAATACGTAGCACCCTGTCCCACTGCTCCTACACAGCAGAGAAACTTACTAGAGGCCATAAGGGTAGGGCTGGACCACCAAGAATTTCCTTTTTCCTATAACTACCCTTGGACAGGGTGACCCTATTTCTGAAAGCCAAAAATATATGATGTAGTCCTAGAGGCCTTAAAAGCAGCCTAATCTTCCAAAGGTATAATGACAAAAAATATGACGCTGACATTGATTAACCTCTCCCACAGCTCCCAGAACCCCACCATATAATCCATTCTCACCTCCAGAACTCTACCTTCTAAAAACTTCCAGCTCCCTGCCTGCTCCAAGCCCTTCAATCAATCTTTTCTCTTCCTGCAGGTCCAAGAACCTAGTCTTACACCAGTTGGCATCAAGTCCGCCTTAAGTGCCCTCCTGCTTCTGCCAGCATCCCAAGAATTATGCCCAAAACCTGAAGATACCTCTGCCCCTCAGATTCCCTCTGCTATCTGTCTTCTGTTCGGGTACACACTGCTGTGTCTTCCCTGTAGTTAGGCTCTAACAACCCTTAAACTTCCACTGGCTGCTGGCTGGCCACCTGTTACTTCTCTCACTGCCGACCTCAGTAAGGCAAGCTGACATCCATGTCTTTGACTGTTCATCCTTACTGGTCATTCCTTCTCTATTCTCTAATTTTTTGGCACGGGGAATGTGGGAATGAGTAGGAGATGTCCTGATTCCAGCTTCGATTCTACCTCGTCTACTCATTATGTCATCCCACAAATCAAAATACCACTTAGTTATCCAGTATACAAGTTACATTTACTTGAAACCATAGGAAGACACACAGTGGAGAGGAAATAAAGTGGACATACCCATCAGTTACAATGTAAGAACAGGGCTGGGCAGGGAAGAGAGGGAATACAAAACACACTTTAAACCTATTTGTTTTTACTTGCCAGCAGAATTCTCGATTGACTTGAATCTTGATCAGCATGACACCATGCAGGCTAACATTAGAGCACAGGTGAGATAGGAGAGCGCAGAGTTAGGAATATTAGGGGAATATGACTTCTACCCAGGCTTCTTTAAGTACAAGAGACTGCTGTGCAGCATTTTTCAGTTGAAACACCATGTTGACACAACCTTCTTCCTCTATCATTACATAAACCTGGTCCAGTGGGTTCTTTCCAGCCAGGGAGAACATGAAGGGAATATGAATTAAGCAGCTCTTCTTATCACCTGAGATTTGACAGTACAATATAATCCCTGTCCTTGAACAAAAATGTAATCTTCATACACGTGTGTACCACACAAATGTTGAAAAATTGTTTTGCTTTTATTATTTCACAGGGGGAAAGACAGGTAAGTTGCTTATTTTCAGTTATTTAAAAAATCCATCATCTTACACATTTGCACAATACTGCATGTTTTGCAGAGTCTCTTTTAGTATACAAAAAGCTGGTTTTGTTGCAAATAAAGGAAATATAAATAGTTTTATTAATACTGATTTTCAAAACATTCCTTTAAAGGGATTTTAAATCCTAAAGTTTGGCTCTATGATTAAATTGTCTTTCTGGAATATTCCTTCTTTGGAAAATACATCCTGATGGGGAAGGTTAGACTGAATAATTTTAGCTAGCCAGAGGCTACCTGTAACTCATAAACATTCCCAAAGCACTCACAACATTTTAAGTAACTTTGTATGATGCCTCCTCAGATTATTTTACTTACCTTTGGCATGCTGACAACCAAATGACCAGTTGTTTGTGATCTTTTAGCAGAGCTGCTGTCTGGCTTCACTTCCTCAGGGAGCACAAGCTGAAATGGCTGTGAGAAAATATGGGATTGGAGTATATAATGCTAAAATATCTTTTTTTTGGTGTTTTTTTTGTTTTGTTTTGTTTTGTTTTTTTGCTTTGACCTGGACAGAACACATGCAGAAACATCACTATCACATCCTTTGATCTTAAGGACAATATAGGTCTAAATCCTCTCACTTTATATGTAGCATTACTAATCCTAATAAAAGATTAGCATGCTAAACAGCTTTTACTTACAAGTATAGTCATATGTATGTTCCTGAATTGCTGTCATTCCTGAAGTGACATTTCTAAAGAAGGTTATAAAATTATGCTTGACTTATACTAGCGATTAAATGAGAAAGATTATCCAGTCTATTTTAGATGTAAAGTAATCCTGAAGTTTTGTTTATGCAACTGGTAACATCAAAATTGGGGATTTTAGTTTGCTGGCTAAGTACCTTGAATTTTTTTTAAATATAAAATGATAAAGTTAAAACCACCGAGAAGAGAAAAAAAGTGGAATGACATTTTAAATGCCCTTTCAAAAGAATATACATGCATTTGTTTCTGTCAGATATAAATTCCAGATTGTGAAATTGCTAAATTCTAGCCTAGGGCAACCAGCAAGCTCTCTTCTTAAGTGAATTATAATACACTGTGTGGGGAGAATAAGAAGAGAGAAGGAGAGAAAGAGAGAGTGAAATTTCATTTGAGACTTTGCACATCTTCTGGTTAGGACCTCCACAGTTTATGTGTAGTCCAAAATAATGCAAGTATGAAAGAACATTTTTTCTGCATAGGTGTGCATGGTTGGCAACTCATAAAAGTCAGATCCAGAGTCCACTGAATAACTATGGTAAGCATTAACTCTTGATTTGGAATTAATGTAGTAAGAAAACACTAACCTTCCCCTTCACCAGTACTCGTATGTAAGTTGGCTGGATATCAACATCAAGCAGAGAAGTGTCCAAATGTCTTCAGAATGAAATATAAATAAATGAATCAATCTACAATACAGGCCAGTAAATAAGCAGTGCAAACCATATTGCTCTTAAATTATAATTTCACAGTTTAAAAACTACAAACTTCAATTTCAGGCATTAAGTTGTGTGAAATACTATCAGGATTTAATGTCTTTGGAAGAAAAACATGATCTTACTGTGTGTTCACCAAATGTCAATTAAAATAACGTCTAAATTCTGTCCACCACATCAGGTATTGTATAACTACAAGAATTCAAAATCTTTGTAGAAAATTAAAATATCTTTCTTCTACTGGTTTAGTGTTTTACATTAATATGAAAATTAATCGATTTGCTATTTAAAATTGTAAAAGTATTTTGTTGCTTTTCTTTATGAAAGCTTAACTAATAAATTTATAATAAGAGTTCTTTCTTTTTTTTGCACAGAATTTGCAGGAAAACAATGAACAGAAATACTTTACATTCCCAGAAAACACAGTACTTTTACATTTCAGTACTGTCAAACAAAATTTCTGACCTGTAAAAGCTCCACTTTAACATTTGCTCTTCATCATATGACACATACGCTCATGTTCCTGTAATGTACCAGTGAATGCGCAAGTATGTATTCCCTATTTCCCTTCTTTGTAACGTTACTTCTCAGGTGATTTTTTCAAACCTTTTAGTCTGCATTTCTTACAAGTGAGCACAGAATATTACAATATATCCAACATTTTATTGCATGTGAACAGATTTTCTGCAGCTCCAGAAAAACCTAATTCTTATAATTCAGAAACATGGAGCAGCCCTCTTTTGAGGCAAATTAATGAGCTTTAAGGAAAGAACATCTGGCTTGAGTAGTGTTTCCACGCTATAAAACTAGTGCAAGCTTTATTCTAACAGGTTCCTCTTATGGATAAATAAGCTTGTGGGTTTCCAACCCCTTCCTGATGTGCGGGTAAGGCGACTGTACTGCTTACCAATATATAGTATCAAATAGTTATCATATTTCCTTGTCATATTTTGGCCTGGTTCAACCAAATTTCTTCCAGGCAATCCCCTCATACAGTTCAGGAAATAGTATGGGCCATGAACTCTTTCTGGCAAGCAACGAAAGTAGGACAAGGCTACTCCACTTTGTTTTGCGAGGAGAATTTCACAAGGGCATGAGCTATACTAGAGCATTTCTAGGGCCAGAGAATGTGCAAAAAACCCCCATTCCCTCAACCCTAATCTGCAAATGAAGAATGGAAAAGAATTTACATAAGTATAAAAGGACAGGTGTGGTAGAAACCTTCCTGTGGACTGCAGAAAACATCAATTCCAAAAAGGACTGTTAGACACAGTCCTCACTGAGGAGTAACAGAACAGCCTTAAAGGCCTTTGGTTTATTCAATTTCATTTCTTTGGCACAGGCTTCAAGACTGATTTGATTATCCTCCATGTTATTTGTTTTACTCCTGAAAAGTCCCCATTACAGAGAGGAGCATATTTGAAACACTGTGTATTAAACCTCAAGAATGGCAAAAAATAAGAGAAAAAAAAAATCCTGACCTGTAAACAGCAAGATCCAAGATGATCTGGTTGTTTTCTTCATCATCTTTCAAAGAGAAATGAAGCCTGGTAACAATGACAAGAGACATCTCCAGGATAAATACAGTTAGAGTGAATAAGCAAACATTACAGCATACTTCAAATTCAACTGCCAGCAATACCAGGTGAATACAAATACCATTTAGACAATATGCCACATGATCATTTTAGAAACAGTTGCAATTTTCCTCATGAACAGAAAATAATACTGGTATTTGAACCTAAGTCATTGTTACATTTATTTTCTGTTCTCCCCACCCAACTCACAAGAAACAACAACAAAAAATACTGCTGAAGGTCAGTTAAAATTAAGATCAGTCTGTCAATGCAGAAAGAGAGACATCTGCTGGTGAAATCTGCCTGTGCTATTAACAGCTGCATAGAGAAATCAGTTCGTGAAAAGTATGAAAGCCCTGGAACTTGGTAATTCTAAAGTTATCATATATATTAAAAAAATTGCATCTTTGTTCATAGCAAATAATTTTCCTACAGTATAAATATATGCCTGTGTATTTTGAAAATAAAACATGATCTGCACAATATCCTTGATTCCACAAGCTTTATAGTATTTGTTGAAAATGAGACTGCAGATTGTATTAGCTGCATGTTTGTGATCTGCTGGCTGAGTTCTTAGAATTGTAAAAGAATCTTAACAATTATAAATTGAAAACAACATCTATTACTACAATTGCAAGGAGATCTAGTCTAGATTTACAAGTTCTGCTGATTTAGACAAACATTTCCCATGTATTAAAGTGGAGAAAAAACAGAATAAAACCCACCTACAAATTATAAGATTTTTATACATTAGTTATTGGTATAAAATGAGAAGGGTTTGCTTAATGTAATTTATCTGGAATATTTCAGTGACATTAAAATACTTCGATACTTTGGGTTCAGATAACAGAAAGAAGCCCAAATGTTAACAGTATAGATGATGCATTTTTTCAGCAATAAAAATGTTTGCCAGATATACTTTTCAACTTTTTGCTCTCCTGTATTCCTACAAAGTCAACTTGCAAGAAAGCTTATGGAGCTTTTACTTTATGGGTCATTTTTAATGGAAAATTGCAAAGAATACAAAACAGCTTTGTTCTGTTACTGCATCACAAATTTTGAGAATTCACTAAAACATGAAGGGTAAAAAAGATAAAAGAATTATAAAATTTTCTAGGGGGAAGCTTTAATCAAAACTGAGGAAGAGAATTCCAGCCATTCCTCTTCCTAACATTCCAAAAGAACATCAGAGAAACTTCTGCACTGAAGCAAAAATTTTGTAGAACACCTTGTATCTATTTATGTCTCTCCAATACACTGCCAGATTGCACTGGAGAGCTGTGATATTCTTGTTGAAGCCATGACAAAGACTGCTCATTGATCTGGCTTTACCCGGGAACATCCCCAGACTAAATTCTAATCCAGAAAACTGGGGTGACACAAACAGGACTGCTACCTACAGTGAACTCTAGGATGCTGTGTTTCTTCTAAAAAGAGAGCTACAGCTTTATTCTAAATGTCTCTGCTTTTTAGAAGCATAATCAAATTCCATTAACACAAAATCTAAACTATTTTAGACTTGTCTTCTTTGAACTAGAATTTTTTTTTTTCAGGCAACACGTTCTTACAAAAAAGTACATCTATACGATGGTAAATATCTTCTGGTACAGATGGAATAAACACTCTTCTGACACTACCTTTAATTTTCCCCATACCACTGAAAATTATGCAATGATCCTATAATGTAGTTTTTCAAGTCCCTTGAATGTGCATGGCATTTGTGAATTTCCAAGATTTAGAAAGCATTCTTCATGGTAATGATAAGCATGCCCTTAGCTTTGATTTTACAGCTAAGTCAGTCTTAAGATGGAAAAACTTGTTCAGAGGACAGCAGACAAGTGGCCCTTCATAGGCCACTGTAGGATGCCCTTTGGGGAGCCATTTATAAGGAAACAATGTTTGCACCCTCTGTCTCCTTTTTTCCCTTAGAAAAGGAATGCTTGGTTCAAGTGAAACCAATGGTAACACATATTGATATCCCTGGAAACTCATTCCAAAACACTTGAATACCCAGGTGCCTTGGTCAACAATAAAATACAAGAGACTTCCCCACGGAAATTGAATTACATGTCCTTCCCAGTTCTGCCAGTTTTATATCTGCCATCAGAGGACAGAATGATTTTGTCCAGAAATATTACTTGGAGGTATTTTTCTGCATTTAAAGTGGCTACTCATACACATTTATCTTCAATAGTAAAACTGGTTAAATTTTTTCTCAAAGAAAGAGAGCCTTTACCATAGAAGGGAAAATAGTAAAACATCTTATATCTTTTATAGAAAAACAATTCTTCAATCATCAAAGACCAAGATGTTAAATTAAACAGGCTTCAACACTTTACCCACATAAAACTAACTATTTTTTCCAGCATTAGAATATAATTTTAGAAGTCAGTTTCCCCACCAGCAATATAATACTGCAATGAGAATTTGTCAGCCCTCTTATTTTTCTATTGTCACATATCTTGAAACAGTTGCCCAAATCAACTATAAATAGGTTGGACTGTTGAACCTCTTAGCCTTACATACTTAGGTGCATTCACATTCAGGACTCTTCCTTCTGCAGTGACCAATGTCTGAAGAGGCTTCTCTCTCTTTTTTGTTTCCCTTAACAAAACAGAAAGAAAAATATTTTATAATTTCATATTCTGGTATCTTATGTTTAATAGCAAGAAAAAGAAAGAAGAGGGTGGCAAAAAGTAAGAATTATCTGGTATTTGATGTTAAGGATACAGCTCATTTCAGGAACAAAACAGGTTATATCACATGTCCAATTGCCCATTAAAACATCATCTAAAGATGAGAAAATTATTTGTAATGTCACGTCTCACATTGATAATAACTTCCTCTGCATGTCACAATGTCCATTATCAAACAGGAATATATCAAATTTGTCTGGTTTATATTAATAAATCAGTGGATTACTTAAACATGAAATGAGACATTCTTCTACTTATGAATGGTCATACTAATCACGAGACATCAGCACTGTTAACTGATTTGATGTATGTCCAAGCAATTCTAAAGACATTATTTCTTCATGCTCACTTAATTACTTTTACTGAACAAATGCTTGGCATATCTCTAAATAGCATGTCTATCATTCATTATTCTGCACAAGTAAAAAGAATTTTAATGGTCAAAAGATTACAAGCAGCACCAAAACAGGACACAGTATGACCAAAGTGCATGCATTAGATTATTTGTTGATGCATTTATTACATTTTTGATGTGTTCTTCCTTCAAAAAATACAATACGTGTTACTTATGGAGACTAATATTCACTGTCCATGTCCAGCTACCAGCAATTAAACTATATCTGACTTTCACTTAGCACAATAAACAAGCTACCTTAAACTTATCGATCTGCCAAAACAAAGCAGATCACTGTAAGATCATTAAGACTTGTAGTACTGTTATTTTCCTATACAAATGTTTAGATCACGAGCAAGGAGAGGAAGAGTAAGGAATCTTAGTAACATGAAAAAGAAAAATCCGCTTGCACCTAAGTAAAAAATGGCTATGTTTTCTTTAAAAAATAGACCACTGTAACTATCACTGTGCATTAATCCACCCTTCAGCTGTCCCTACCCTTAGCAGGCGGGTTGGAACTAGATGATCTCTAAGGTCCTTTCCAGCCCTAACCATTCTATGATTCTGTGATTAAGTGTGTAGGGCTACTTCAGCTGGCATATTAAAAAAAAAAAAAAAAAAAAAAGCCAATTTCTCCAAAAGACAACAGCAATACATTGCTTTTTGTGTTCCCAAACCAATTTCTTAGTATAAATTCAAGATTAAGAGATCATTAAAGGTAAATCACTAATAAGGGAAATAAAGTATGTAAGATTTAGACCACCTTCAGGGAAAAAAAAAAACCCACAGAAAAAAGATTTGATCTATAAATACAATGGATTTGAAGAAAAAATAAAAACATTCAAGTGGAGATACTGGCATGACTACATAAAACCAACTTCTGTTTAAGAAAGATTCACAACTATCCAGGTGTTAAATACTATTCTATGGTATAAATCAGAGTTTGAATGTTGGATTTGTAGGCTAGCAGTTTCTACACCTGATTCCCTACTCTTGACACTTAAATGCCAAGTGAACTGTTCTAAAGATGCAGTTCTCAGAATGCTTCAGGAAATTATATCCTAACACCTCTTAGCTGTTAATAACCTGTTTCTAGATTAAATCTGTCTGCTCATGTAAACCATTTTAAGGCAAATTCAGACATTGCATAATCATTAGAGTTTAAGATAACTTGTTTAACTTTGGGCTGAGATGAGCTGAAAGGCCTTGTTCTGACAAGGAGCAGGTATAGGAGATGCTGTGTACTTTTCTGCTGCAACTGATTTTACACTTGTGTGAATTTTCTTTGAATAAAACTGCAAGTATTCACTCATTTGGCAATAGCCAAAGCTGCTCAGTTTACTATCAAATGTTCCAAGCTGGAAAATTTAAAGTGTACTAACACGTCACAGAGAGGTTCAAATTTAGCAGTGGTCTGATTGACATCATGACAATTTTATAGTAAAATAAATATCCTTTTATTAAAGTTACATTTCAGCTCCTGTCCACCAGCAAGGATGATTTGAAGTTGTCAAAGGCACTTTTCCATTCTCACTTTTCTCATGCCACCTAAAAAAATCTCACCACCAAAACAAAATGAACCATGAATGGATTTTTAACTCCTATAAATGCTTTGGAAATTTAGAAAAATCCAGAAGGGAATTATTCTATCTTTATTATTATGCTATTTAGGCTCTCTTTGAATATTTAGAAGGAAGCGTTTGGAACACATATGCTTTTGACTGGAGCAAGGCAACCCCAAACACAGCAGAATTCTAACTAGCTAGAATCTGGGTTTCACAGTAGTTCTTCTGGGAAAGTGCTAGACCTTGAATTAATAATAGGAACAAGTTAGGCAGATTTTCGTATTTCCTGGAGAGTTCCCGAGGTCTGACTTTTTCAATACTTAGGTTTGATAAATCTTCTAAAAAAAAATGCCCTTAAAAATAACAGCTAGAAAAAATCTCTGGCACAAATGCTGTTATATAAGCAAAAGGGGGGAAAAAAAAAATGGGGGGGGTGGGGGAGAGAAGACATTGTTTACAGTGTTTGTGGAACTGATAAGCCAGCAGCAACAAGGTTTTTTTGCTGGTATCTGCATTAATTCTCCATGGTCAGTGAAATCAGTGGCAACTTCAGAAAGTTTTTTCAGGGGCCAGACATCTTCAGATTCACTATGCCAAATAGCATAGATAACATGAAAAATCTTATCACTCAGGATGAACATCTTTGATAAAGTATGAAAAGTATGAAAAAATCACATAGAAAAGGTGCCTGAAATGTCATTTAGAATCACATAATCACTGAATCAGAGAATAGTTTGGGTCCAAAGAGACCTTTAAAGGTTATCTAGTCCAGCCCCCCTGCAATGAGCAGGGACATCTTCAACTAGATCAGGTTGCTCAGAGCCCCGTCCAACCTGACCTTGAATGTTTCCAGAGGTGGGCCATCTGCCACCTCTCTGGGAAACCTGTTCCAGTGTTTCACCACTCTCATTGTAAAAAATTTCTTCCTCATATCTAGTCTAAATCTACCCTCTTTTAGTTTAAAACCATTATCTCTTGTCCTATCACAACAGACCCTACTAAAAAGTCTGTCCCCATCTTTCTTGTTGGCCCCCTTTAAGTACTGGAAAGCTGCTAGAAGGTCTCCCTGGAGCCTTATCTTCTCCAGGCTAAATAAGCTCAAATCTCTCAGCCTGTCCTCATATGGGTGGTGCTCGTGCAATCTGATCATTTCTGTGGCCCTGCTCTGGACTCGCTCCAACAGGTCCATGTCTTTTGTGTGCTGAGGACTCTAGAGGTGGACAGAGTTCTCAAGGTAGAGTCTCACAAGTGCAGGGTAGAGGGGGGAATCACCTCCCTCAACCTGCTGGTCACGCTTCTTTTGATGCAGCCCAGGACATGGTTGGATTTCTGGGTTGTGAGTGCACATTTTCAGCTCATGTCCAACTTCTCATCCACCAGTACCCCCAACTCCTTCTCTTCAGGACTGCTCTCAACCCCTTCATCCCCCAGCCTGTACTGATACTGGAGGTTGCCCTGACCCACTTGTGCTAAAAATTTTGTAGCATGGCCTGAAGGGCATTTATATAATGCAACCTGCACTCCGGATAAATGTTTTCAGATAGAATACCAAACATCGAACTACATGAAACATGTTAGTTGACAGAAAAGTGAAACTTCTAAAGTCCACAAAATGGAGTTGAAAAGAGAAATTACATTTATATTTGAGGAAAAACAAAATAAAGGGTGTCATAAATAAATTTTAGAAAATGAAACAAAACAAAATGAACAATCTGAATATTTTATTTAGATTTTATAAGCATATTGGCCCAGGCAACAGGGATTTAAGATGACAATTCTCAGTAATATTTAACGTGAGGCAGTCACCTATGTCTACTCTGTACCTTTGAAAATTTCCCCTTCCTTGATTCGTATAATATATTAAAACAAAAGCATACCTTATATTGTCTTTAGCTCTCCGTTTTTCTTCAATATATCTGTGAGTTTCTAATCTAGATTCTGGGGTATATGGTGTAGGCTCCTCCCAAAATCTTCTGTCTTCTTCATCATCTTCATCTGTTCTCTGTGTTTCTTGTCCTCTCTCTCCTTCTGACTGATGGTTTTCTTTCTTCTGTAGGGAGTCTGGGCTACACAAGATCACACAGAATATTATCGCAATGAAATGAAGAAAGAGTAACAGTACTTACTAATAAATTATTGCAATAATATTTTTTAATCCAATACTAATAGCTGTATAATTCCTACCAAGAACAGTATCTTACAGATTTGGACAACATTCTCTGCTCTGCCTCTTTCATCAATCAACAAAACATATTTGAACATAATTTTTCAACACTGACTTAAGTAAGAAGTGATACTATAGTTATGCCTAACCCTCTGAAAACCTGGATACATAGTTCAACAGATTTAGTTTTGGGAGCAGAATTTTCAGATACTTCCACAACTTTCAGGTGAAACAAAACATTCAGTCCATGTGATATTTAATGTGATGTGATTGCTGAAGTTCTTTGAGAACTGCCAATAGCAGGCAGCAGCAGATTAGGAATTTATAGGGTAGCAACATTTTACTTAGGCATCTCCTGAAGTGCCATCTTAGAACCTGAATAATTTTTCCCCCTAGCCCTAAGCCTCTGTAATCTTCAGAAATTCTCTATCAATGTAGAGACAAAACTAAATTTATGATACAGCTGTGATTTTGAGGACAAAGTTCCATAGCTAGCTCCATGGAACTTGGTCTCTGTTGGATTCAAAATAAGAAGATGGCAACTGCAGTAGATGACCCCAGACAAAAATCATTCTACTACCTAGATAATCTCAGTGATATTAGGTGGAAGAAGTACAGAAGTCAACATTCTATAGCTTTTTACATCTCATATGATCCTCAATATTCCATTTCAGTCTTCATATCTAATAACACTAAAGGAAAAGAAATTACGGGTGAACAGCTGCTTCCTCTGGAACCCCTGCATTAGCATAAGTAAAAATATCCAGCTGTTCTGAAAGAAGCTATCAATTACATTATTTTGGCACCCAGACAATTTAGCTTGGAGTTTTGGGACAAAAAATCTATTATACTGTCATCAGGTATGCTGGTTTTGGCTGGGATAGAGTTAATTTTCTTCATAGTAGCTTGTATGTGGCTATGTTTTGAAATTGTGCTGAAAATAGTGTTGATAACACAGGGATATTTTAGCCGTTGCTGAGCAGTGCTCACACAGAGCCAAGGCCTTTTCTGCTCCTCACCCCACCCCACCAGCGAGGAGGCTGGGGGTGCACAAGACGCTGGGAGGGGACACAGCTGGGACAGCTGACCCCAACTGACCAAAGGCACATTCCATACCATATGACATCATGCTCAGCATATAAAGCTGGGGGAAGAAGAAGGAAGTGGGAGATGTTTGGAGTGATGGCATTTGTCTTCCCAAGTAACCATGCGTGATGGAGCCCTGCTGTCCTGGAGATGGCTGAACACCTCCCTGCCCATGGGAAGGAGTGAATTAATTTCTTGTTTTGCTTTGCTTGTGTGCGTGGCTCTTGCTCTACTGATTAAACTCTCTTTATCTCAACCCATGATTTTTCTCACTTTTACTCTTCTGGTTGTCCACCCCATCCCACCAGGGTGAGTGAGCAAGTGGCTGTGTGGGGCTTAGCTTCTGGCTGGGGGTACACCATGACAAAAAGTCAGGAATTAATTATGTTTGTAAGTTATTATATTTTTAATTAGAGATAACATGCATGAGGAGGAACAATTCTGATAGAACAACAAAGACAAAACAAAAAGGTTTAAGTGGAATTATATAAATTATTGAATGAGAAAAAAATGAATTTTTAATAAAGAGAAGAATGATGTTGACTCAGAAACCATTGTTGTTCACTGTTACCTGTCAAATCCAAGCTTAGATTCCATTTGTTTTTGTTTCTTGTCTTTTCTTTCTTGCATCCTTCTTTGAGCCTCTTCTTTTTCTCTGGCCCTTCTGAGAAAGTAAGCTTGTTCCTGTTCTCTGATTTTCTGTTTCACTTCTGAATAGTTTTGATGTGCTTGAATCCTCTCTGAATGTTTTATTTCTATACTATCCAAATACTTCCCAAAGGGAAAAAAACCAGTATAGATATGTGAGGAATTTTAAACATATTCAAATCAACAAATCCATTAAACAGATTAATTTTGATAGATTACTTCTGTATAAAATTAAAACTACACCTTTCAAAGCTCAATAGCACTAGGTAAGTTATACGATATTAAAAAGAATTAACAGTAAGTTGCTATTCGTGTTTTCCAGGAATTTCCGTTGGTGTTACTAGACTATGTAGTAGAGATTGTCCCTTCAGCCATTTCTGATATTTGTCTGACCTTGATTAAAGCTCATGAAACTATTACAAAATGATTTATTATGTGTTAGCTTATTGCCAACTAAGTGAGTTGAATCTACTCTTAATAGGTTATACAAGTGTCTGTGCTTCTCCAATGGAAACTGTGGGAGCATACAGCAGGGATGGAACTGCCTGTTTCAATGGCAGCAAATCATTACATCAGTACATCCTTGCACAAAACCTCCATCTCAAACTATCTATTATTTACAGCCAATGCAATATAGTGCATTTTTACATCATTTTCTATCTTTCTACTGCCTTACACTGTTGGTTTGGTATATATTGTTGGTATGGTACCAACACCGTGGTAGCTTTCTGCAATCATGAAAATAATTTAAAAATAGATTGTGCATATAAAAACAAAGGAGAAAAAAATCCAGAACTGTACAGTGTATTCATTTTTTTCTGCACTTTGTTTAACGATCTCCAATGAAAATGACAGAAAAGTTAACAAATATGTGTTGTTTAGTCAAAACAGAACTAAGTAATTATCATATTGCTTACTGTAATCACTTATTCTGCAGAACAGAATTTAATTTCCTGTGGCAGTAATAAAAATGCTCCTAGTTTTCCTACCACAGGCATTTACTTTGTTTGGGATTATGATGTTCAGTCAACAATGCTGGTTATTGATGTGGATATAAATTTAATTTTTAAAATCTTACTTTTAGTTGATGAAGAGTTGCTACCACAAATTGTCTATAACCTTCAAATTCAGTGCATGGGTTACCCACTAAAAACAGTTCTTTCAGATGTATATTATATTTTAGGGATTCAGTACTGGAGAGTTCACCAATGAAATTTGCTGTCAGGTCAAGTTTCTTCAGTTCTTCACAGCCTATTTGAAAAAAACATAATTCAGTTTGTCCATAATATAAACATACACATGACATACACACAAACACAAACATACACATGCACACACTTGGATGTAAAACTGTCTGCATTTGTTGTCTGCATACTAATTTCATCCTATGAGAATACATCTTTTCCAAGCCACAAGGGAAAGTGACTGACAGCTTATGAGGTCACAATATTTATAGAAAGAAAAAAAACTCAATAAAATACAAAATATCAAAACTTATTATCGGTTTTATCACTATCAAAACTTTGTGGTCAGTGCTTGTATATTAGATGAGATATTAAATGTTTCATTTCTGGATAAGGCGAACTTCAGTTTTAACAGTCTGATTGCCTTGCTACCTCTCTTCAACTGAGTCTTCACCACATGGCTAAACAAGTGCCTAATTGCTTCAGGAGAGAAGGATCAATTATGGGTTTCATTTCTGTGTGCTGTTAATCTTAGCTAACATTATTCAAGTGTAAAGATAAAGTTTTCTAAAAATTCACTCCAAGTCAAGATGAGGCTTTCCACTCTGTGGGCTCAGCTATCATTGTGAATACTTTATCACTGGTTAAATTGCAAATACCGGTAAGAAAATGTTGTTTGTTAACCAAAACAATTCATTATAAACAGAAACTCTAAACTAGCTAAGAAAATGCTCTGGGAATTCTGGATACAGAACTTATCACCCTCTCCTACTATAATCTGTCCATGAACCTTGACTCTAAGAGTAAAAAAGTTTAGCTAAGAGCAAGTTCAACTTCAGTGCTCATCGTTGTAATCACTTCTTTTCCTTTGCATGTCTGTTTGGCAAGTATTTTATGCATAATGGAGCTGAAAGAAAATAAACAACTCAAAATGATTTATAAGGGGATTTAAATAACCCAAATTTTTCCAAGGCTTGCTCCCAAAGGCTCCGACTCCTAAGTAAATGACAAATCGCAGTAATAAATAATGCAGCCTGATGGAGGAACTTAAAATTTACTGGCATGAAAACAGATGCAAGTTTCTCAACAAATTGCCAAATATGTAATGTACTACCTATTTCTTCAACTTTTACAAATTTGTGTTCAGCCTATTTGCTTACTTTTTATTTGATTTAAGCCACCCTCTTGAATCAGCCTGTAAACTTTAAAAAAACCCAAAAAACCCAAAAAAACAAAGACTCAAAACAAACAAAACAAACAAACCAGCTTTTTTTTATTGTTCCCTTGTCAAGGTGGACATTTTAAAGATTCAGCAACAGGCCTAATCAGGATCAAAAAAGACAAATAAATCAAGTCAGAAATTATTCAAATACTACAGAATGTGTTTATTGGTGTCTCTAAGTCTCAGATTTTGATCTTGGAAAATGCCAGATCTTTGCACATGCAATGACAGTGACAGGATAAAGGATTAAACACAGATAAAACAGACAGGACTTCATGCAATGACAGATAAAAGGATCATCTAAAAATCTCCTTAAAAATACTCTAGTCTGCGAATACAACCTGTCCGCAGAGTAGAACATTTGTGTGTGTGACACTTGATTGCTGAAGTGAAGATGACTGCTGAAACACTACGTAGGAGAGACTTTTTACAGCCTGCATACCATTAAAAAAAAAAAAAATCACATCGCTCCAGCTAACCTGCATAAGAAATTATCTTATCTTTACACTAGGGAAATACCAATTTCATGAAAAATTTGGGTTCCCACTTTGTAAATCATTGAAGGAGAGAGCTATAACTGGCAACACCAGTGAGGGCTATGCAAAAAGTGAGTTAAAATACCTTTAAGAAAGTTCAATGACAAAACTTCAGGAGTAGGAAGCACTTGCTACGAAGAAGTATTTTTGAAATGCTGTACACAGAAAGGCTCTTTCTGAGTATCAACAAAGTACCTTTACTGGTGGACATACTTCATGGCTTCCACCCTCTTTTACACTAAGTCATAACTTAAGTGTTTCAATATGAAAAGACAAAATGGTTTGTTCAAAATCTGACCTTCCAGATTTTCAATTCTTTCAATGTTGTTCAAAGCTAGATTCAAATATTCGAGCTTCTTTAGTTTGCCCACATTTTCTGTAACAAAACATAGATCTGTTATTTCATTTTTCTACATTGGAAAGGGCATGATCATTTTACATCCTCACTTTACTTCAAAGAAACAATAAAAGAGAAAAATATAAAGGACAAACCAGATGATTATGTATCAAATTACTGGGCATTAATATTCTAATATTAATAAAAAGACAAAACCAAAAGTGCTCTGAAAACACAAATTAAAATTAAAAAGTAAAAAATAAATAAGGAATGTTATAAACACATTTTTATGACAAACCCATAGAACAAGTATATAATGTAAGAGGACTGGCCAAAAAGCATGGTGAAACATTCCATTTGTCATGAAACTCAGAAAGGATCAGGCCATACTTACTCAAGCGTTATAAAATTATTTTTACATTCATTTATATGTAAAAGATTGGCTTCTTTATTTTAAATTTAATTTGTAAAGATCTTTTAGCTATAAGAAACATCTTTCCCCTTTTTAAAAGTTTTGCACATAAGGATTTATATGGCTTCAGTATGAACAAAACAAAGACACACACACCTCGCCTCCTAATCTGGAATCTAACCTGTATTATTTTCACAATGAATACTGAAACTAGCAGGTTCACAATGTGTGGGGTTGTGTGGCTAGCATTTCCTCTTTTTAGTACACAAAGGAGATAAAGAGGGAATAGGGTAGCAAGCATCTTCATCAGTTCCAAAAATGTCTGAAAAAATTGGAATACCATTTGAGATACAAGACAGACAGGTCAAAGACATAAATCTGAGACAAGATACATAGCATAACTTGTGTCATGGTTCACCAGTTCCTCCTCATTCACCAGATCTTTCAAAGATCTGACTGGAGAATCTGTCCAATCAAGACATAAAGTTTACCTCTAACTCACAAATTCACAAGCTGCACCGATTAACTGCTGTACATACTGTCCCTGCTGAGACAAACAAAGAAATTCAAGCAGAGGGAGCTTCATCTAACCAACACAGATCACGCCTACAGCTGAGCTAGTTGTCTGGGCTCCTCTATAATCAATAAAGAGAAACAGGCTCTTCAAGGTGCAATTTGTCTTATCTTAAATTGGCTGTCTAGAACCAGTGAACCAAATAATGCTCAAAAGTATCTTTTCTCCATCACTGGTTATAAAGACAGGCTACAGTAACTGCCTAAGACATAGATGTCTAAAAATTGGGTCACCTGAATCCTACCACTTAGATTACTAAGACCTTGGAGAGATATTTTCTTCATAATTCATAAACAGACAATGAAATTAATTTCACAGCAAGGACCTGTGCAGCTTAGGTTGTCTGTTCATTTTTCTTACAGCACTTCTTTTACAGTGCTGTCTGTACACATGAAGCTGTGAGAGACACAAGTGCTGAAGTCAATGGTACCTTGTGGGTTGTTTTCTATTTATATTATCATCCCAACAGAGTCAATATAAACCATTTGGCTACGACATTTTGAAGTGCGCTTGGAACTGCCGTGTGCTCTGCATGGACCTGTCAGTATCCACTGGGAAGAATTACCTCTCAAATTCAGTACGTTGTAACACAACTCCTACTGGCAATCCTTTTGGTCACTACTTACATAATTTTTTTTTTTTTTTATTTGTTACCAAGGCATTATCTTGGAAAGCTGTTACATTACACAAGAATACATGAAGTAGGAAGTTTCATGCTTTTCCAACTCCTACAGTTAGATTAAGTTAAGATAAAAATTGAATGTCTCAGACATGAAACTGCCGAAATAATTTTCTGTCCAAAAAGCAAAGATGTGAATGGTAATATGATATACTGTACTAACCTAAAGGAGATATGAGTGTTGACAAAAAAATGAGATTAAGTCTTGTGCCTTATGAAGGACACAGTAACAGAGAGAAAAACAACTTATTTTAGTCCCATTTTTGATGGGGCAGAGCCGCATAAAGCAGCTGCAAAAACCTTATTCTCTCTGGGAGTAGATTCCTCCACTCTAAGAAAAGCAGATGTTATCAGCACAGGTACTCCCTCAGAGGATCCTGATGAGCTCCTCCAGAGGATTTAAAGCCTTTGACTACAATTCCTGAGCACAGAATTTCACCCTAAAACTTTATTTTTTTTTCTTCCTCTTAAGGAACTTAAAAGAAATACGCTAATATAATTCCTGAGCACTTACGACTTTCCATTTTTTATCTACATACTATCTGTAGAGTCTAAGCTTTTCCAGCCCAAGACCTGATGTTGTATCTTTCTGTAAAGAGTCTAGCAAACATGAATCTATACCACAAAACGTAGACCATATGAAATTATACCTTCTGTGGTGCAGGAAGAGCATTGAGACTTTGCTGTAAAAAGTTGTCTTTATGCGCAAAAGCAAGTATTTTACCTGAATAAGGATTATTCCAATGTTAACAAAAAATACCATTTGTATAAAAACTGAATTTAAAAATGAGCCTGAAGAGCGCTAGACCTACGATATCACAGTCCATGGTGTATGCTAAACTGTTTGTCTCTCTGTTTGCCATAAAGACAGGATATTTAAGTTATATTCTGGTTTATGATATTTTAATCAATAAAAGGTGTTCCACATTAATAATCTAGTGACTTGTTTCTCAGTACTAACTTTTTCATTTAAAATTTCTCTTGCAAATTTCTGAGCTGCTTAGAAATTTACTAAGGAGACAGGGAAAGGAAACCTTGTTAGGAACAGATCCATAAATAACTTTTCTGTAGTTACTCACTCTACATTCCCTTAAAGTATAACAGAGCAAATATTTTTTTCTGATTTCAAAATTATGCATACAAATCTATTTAAGAAGAAACATATCCAGAAAACACTTACCAATTTTTGGAATTAGATTATTCTGAAGATAGAGAATTTTTAAATCTCGACACCATTTGTCAAGATACTCTAGTTTTTCTATTTCCTAAAAAAATTTCTTCCAGTGAAAAAATTTCACAGTTGTTATGTTCTGCACGTCTTCTCACAAGATCTTCAGTGACTGAAAGAAACATCAGACATTGTATCTCCCTTTAGTAATTATCTGCCATCTGACTTATGAACAACTTATAAAATCATTAAAACCTTTTGTTCCCCCATACCAAATAGATATGTGGTAGAACACCAACAAAAACAAACAAACAAACAAAAAAAACTCCTAAAAAGGATATTAAGTGCCAGGTAATTTCAGCCTGCTCCGCCACAGTCAACATCATTTGTGAAACACACATCACCTGTGACATTTTAAAAAATCCATATGAAAACTGCTGAGTCTTCCATAAGAGCGCGATACAGCCCTCGCAGAAATTAATCCAGCATCCATTCTTTGCAGCATAGCTCGGGTTGCAGATTGATTCATGTAAGCAAGCATTGGAGTGTTTTATGCTTTTTTATTTCCTGATGCCAGATGTTCACAAAAAGTGAACTAGCTACCGTGGGCCATCATATTCTTCTGCCAGCACAGGGTGCACAGAAATAAGCAGGATGAATGCTGAAAGTGGGCAGATATTCTATACTTTTTCAGTGCTTGAGGTAAAGCCATAACTAATTCATGCTTATAAATGTTTACGTTAGAATGAAATTCAATCCTGAGTATTTCTTAGGCACTACCAGCTCATTAGCAGCCAGCAAAGGAGTTTCAGTGGCCGAAAAACACCAGAGACCTGAGTTCAGAGTTTTCACATAGTAATATTTAATGCCAGGCAATCTTTCAAACAGTGAAAAGGCTCTGTATAATGAAGGTAAAGAAATTCTGTGAGAACCAGTGCTCACTCTTGAGCTAGATGTTACTACTTTGTTTCCAGCCCACTGCACCAAAAAAGCACTAGCATTTTCCTCTCCTTGACAAGCAGCGAACTACAGTGAAGTACTGATTAAAAACTAGGGTTTTATCAAATTAGCATAGCTATTTTCATTATTTTTAATGTCAAAAAAGGACTAGTAAGCCTTTCAAAAAGACTCTGAAGAAAATAAAGTAAAAAGAAAGAATATAAATAGAGACCAGTGAAAACAAATTGTTCCTACCATACAATAATTAAAAGTATTATTTCATCACCTTTATCTCAGGAAGGTTTTGTGAAATCATCAGGTTTTATTAGTGGTCCTGGAATGGCTGCACACATTCACATGGACTGGTCTGCTACAAGCTGGGTAAAATATGTACCAATACAGCCCAAACTCGCATGTGTCAATATAGGTCTTCTATCTACAGCCTTTGGGAAAGGGGTGCAACTGGTTTTGCATATATTATATTATTTACAGACGATCAGGATTAAATCTCCCTTCTGTTCAACAGAGTGTTATCCGACATACTTACAGAATGTTATAACAGCAATACCGATATTGATCTAAGAGGGGATCCTGTCTGCACACATAGAATATTGGGAAAGCTGTCATTTTCTTTTTCAATCGTGTTGGGCAGGTTTGCTACATGTGAACAACCATCTTCCCTTCAACAGCTCATTGATTAAACTTGATTAAATTAATAGAGAAAACAAAAAAAAAATTGCAATAATTGTGAGTAAATATTTTAGTCTTCACCAAAAATATGAAAAAACATTGGCCTTTCTAATAAGTTACTTGGCAAATCTGCTGGAAATTAAAACCAAAACGGCCTGCTTACTAATGTGTTGCTTGGTGGATCTTTCAGTGCTGGTATTTCCAGTGCAAACAGGTATTTTTGAGCAAGAAAACAACAATATTCCACAATCTGCATACATATGCATTGGCAACAACATTATGTTCTGTACCCTTTACACAGAAAGAAGTCATACAAACCATTCCAGACAGAGTTTTATTAGAGTCAGATTTCCCTTTGCTGATGAAAAGAAAATTGGAGTGATTGTTGCAGTGATTATGCAAAAACGTCTACTTTCATTACCAGATGGTTTGCAAAGCAAAGACAATCATTCCCAATAGAAACTACAGTGGAGCTTTAGAGAACTGTTTGGGGGACTTGCTGCAGGGAACCAAGAGAATATTTGACATTTTGGATGCTATCTAGTTCATGTAAGAGGAACGAGGGAAACAAACTTGCAAGAGAAAATAATAAATTTTAAATAAAAGCTTTCGCAGGACATTGACAAAACACATTGCAACATTACTTCTCACTGAGAAGTTAATTAACCAGATTATCTGATGTTGTGCATAGTAACAGGAGAATGGATCGGTGACCTGAGAGATCACAGCTACTCCCATGTTCCCATGAACACAGGAGGAAGTAAGGGATCATCAGTCAACTGGAGATAACAACAGATCTTGAAAATCTTACAGCTGGGCTTCCAAAAATTACATGTATTAATCAAAAAGGTGCAGATACGAAGGAAAGCATTAAAGAAACTGAAAGAATAAGCAGGTGGACAGCTGCAAGTATGTGAAGAAACAGTTGGGGAACCTGCATTTCAGAAAAATGAAGGATTCAACCATTATTTTAAGACTCCAATTCATGCCACGCCATTCAGGAGATGAAGCCATTCTCCTGCAGGCAGTGCCTGCTCATAGCGGGCACCTGCCAGCTTCATGCAGAGAGGAGTTCGTTTCCAAAGCACTATATTAGCCCAGCAAGGGACTGGCAGTCCAGTCACTGTATACAATCCAAACAGATTTCAGGGAAAATCACAGATGACGACAATTCCATAGCATCTTTTTTCTTGAGTGATATGTATGAGCCTTTTAGGTCATATACAGCTTTACCTCTAAAAGATTATGGATTCGTAAGTATGGTGTATTTAAACCTCATTCTGTGTTTTTAAAATTTTTTTTTTCATCTCTAATAAAGCATCTGCATTGGTTTAAAAAAAGTAAATTATCCTGTGGTGTTGAAAATTTACAACGGCAGGGAAAGGGCAGCACTGACAGCTCTAGGCAAGTATCTCCCCTTGCAGGGGCCTGCCCCACACACGGAGGGGTCCCGCCTGGGCCACGGAGGCTCTTTCAGGAGGCAAGCACACCCACGGAGGAGAGAGGGGCTGCCAGGGGGTGTGGGGATGCCAGGGAAGGAGGGCAAGCGTGGGGGG